TCAAAAATGCCACAACATGAGTAAAGAAAAAAAAAAGAGAACGACGTTTCCATCGCTATTTAATCTTTGCTAATCAGATCTGCTGACAAGTGGTAAAAAAAAAAAAAAAAAGCCAAAGGCAAGAGAGCTGAGCACAGTCACTGTGAGTCTGTCAGTGTGAGACATTCACTTTAATGAGTGTGTGACAGTGAGTCCTCGCTTCTTTATTTATCTGCCAGCCAACTGGTAATGAAGGCCTGGTCTTTGTACAGCTCAGAATACACACACACACACACACACGTACAAACGTGCGTTTGTACACACACACACACACACACGTACAAACGCACGTTTGTACACACACACACACACACACACGGCCTGCTATCCCTCCTGTTCAAAAGCTAGAACCTTCGTACAACCTACGTGCAGCCAACAACACTAGCGCCACACAAGTACAAACACACACACACACACACACCATGACACTGGGAGACACAACAACAAACATCAGTGTTTAGGCGTGGCTTCTGTTCCATCATCTCGGGCAGCTCTGAGATAGGACGCCGAAAACAGTCCCCAGGAAAATTGGATCCGCTCCACTGTTTAAATTCCACAGACTTTGAGGCATGCAGTTGCTAGGCAACAGCAGCGCTGTATCTCCCTCTCTGATACCCATTTTGGTTTACTTTCTGAACATTCGGTCTTTGACTGAGAACAAAGTTCTGGTGAAATAATTCCATTTTATGTAAATATGCTTCAACAGCATTTCAAAAGAGCGGCCGAACAAACTTTGAAGTGAAGTCGTTACGGTTACGGTGACCTGTTTATCCACGCTGCTGTTTGGAAAAAAAAATGAACTCAGTGCACAATTATTACCTCATCTCAAAGAAATCTTATTATTGTGCACAGGGAAAAAAACACCATTGTGTTTTAAGTTGAAAATCACAGACAATGGTTTTTTCAGTCACATGATCACAGCCGTCATATTTTTGCTGAATTGCATTTGATTTATTTATTAGTATACATTATTATTTTAATCATAGTTTGGAAAATAATAATAATTAGTTGAAAACATATTTTTATCAGTCTTTTATTTGACAGCTACCAGACATTTTGAACGACCCAATTTGAAAACCAGGCGACCCCACGTTGGATCGCGAACCCGAGGTTGAAAAACACTGACATAAGACACATGAGTGAGAGCAGGCCAGATGGACAGAAGGAGTAAGGGTCTAATATCAAAAATGATAAACTGTGTAAAAACATTGTCTTTTTGCCGATATTAAATATGTCAATATAGTTCAAATATATTATATATAAAATATATATATAAATATATTGTCCAAACACTTCATTTTCGATTCCGATATCAACATATACTGGGTTAAAGGCAGAGGACACATTTCATGGAGAGCAGCAGTATGCTGTGTCGCAATGACGATTCTTATCGATGTTACATAATAATGCTAATATTGTCCGATGTTGTCGGACATCTCTACTTTATGTAAATGATTCCCATTAATCTGTGGACAAATGTCTTTTGAGAACAAATGGGAATTCAAAGTGATTATGACTCACTGGCTAAAAGGTACTGTATATACAGTATGTTGGAGCCAGTGAGTACAGATCGCAGTGATCGATACAGCTCAGTGTTCTACACATGTCTGTCTCCACTGTTTAAGGTTTAATGTACTGTCTTTAAAATGTCTTCAGGTCCAGACAAATGTGTCTGAACCTGAGGCACAGGATAATCCATCATTGTTACTGTCTCTGCTGTTCAGCTTAACAACCACAGGTGGCTTGGTGATTGTTGCCACGGCAAGGTTTAGGTTGGCCCCAGGGAGGAAGTTAGAATGTGTGTTATTACGTCAAAGTCAAAGTCAAGTTTATACATTCATCCTGTAGGGGGAGAACTACCTTTATATCTCACTCTCCCACGGTTTACCTTGGTGTAAATAATACTTCAAATAACAAGCTAAAGCCTCTACTTCAGAGTACTTCAAAGCTAACAACGCATCAGCTCCGCTTTGTGAATGTGAGCGCTGTCGCGTGTATGAAATTATCGGCTTCAAACTAGCAATTCGTGGGCTAACTGGCCAATCACAGGTCAGGGCAGATCATGCCAAAAACCAACCCATTAAAATCACTGACTGGTCAATCTGCTTTTCCTAAATGACGCATTAGCTGCGATGTCCTGTATGAGCTTTTTTTGCCGACATCCGATATTGTCCAAATACTTAATTTCCGATTCCGATATTAACCAATAGCAATACATGTAGCTGTTTTTCTTCAAGACTTTTTTAGGTTACATTTCATACAGTATCTCTTTCAGTCACTTTTATTGTGATACCCTACTAAAGGCATTCGACCAATTAGAACTGTCTGCACAAAACCCTAACCCATTTTTTATTCAAATCCAGAAAATCCAGCAAAACCTAGGCATTACGTTATTGGGGTTTCATTATCGGAGGAAAATCTGACAAAGATTCTTACTGATATTACATAGTTATGCTAATATCTGGCCGATAATATCAGTCAACGATTTAAATCTAAATTCAGGTAAAAGAAACTATCTGGCTGATAATATCAGTCAACGATAAAAATCTAAATTCAGATAGAGGAAATGGCTGAAGTCACGCAGCAGTAATATCCAAAAATAAAAATAAAAAACCGAGATTGAGAACAAGAATCTTTACGGTGAATTACATCATTTAAGGACATAATCAGTGGGACGTCCACTGTGTTTGTCTTCTGTCCCGGCTCACATGTTTCACAGTTTCAGGCAACTGTATGACATAGTGACTGAATTAAGACAGCATGTCAACCAGCAGTCACTTCCAAGCTGCTACATTTAGTTGTAAATTGATCACTCAGGGAGAAAGTTAGAAGCTTAGTGACCTCTATGTCAGCTGTCGTGTGGTCAGTGGGATGAAAGATATATCAGTGTGCCTGCTGGGGGAAATACCTGCTGGAAAATTTAGCAACAAAGAGGCTAAGTAGACAAAATTACTTGTGGATGTCGTGCTGATGATGTAACAGAAACTGTTTGTGGTGAGCGCAACAGTCACTCAGCAAACCTGTGGTGTAACTCCACACTGTCAATGACTGAATTAGTCCAATGTATGTACAGTATTTTGGCCGGGTGTCTGAAGACGTTACCCCACACTCCCGCATACATGTCCTCAGCCCTGCTCAACGCGACACCCTGTCCATCAGTGTGGACCGACATGAAAAGACATGACAGAATCCAAAATGTCTCTAGTGTCTCTAAAACTATTGAACCCTCAGTGTCTGAGTGAATAAATAGACGGTGAAGTCGACCGTCTGTGTGTTAGCAAACCTGGATGGTAGGCTAATCTAGGTGTGTGGGGGGAAAAAAAAACCAAAACGACTGCCCACACGACTTTCCAAAAAAGAACTTGTACTGAGATGAGAGTTATATGACACATCAGATATCTGATATTCAGAAGAACACCAGTCTTCTTTGGTGGAAAAAAACTGTCTGATTTTATCTTTTTTTTTTCTCTCAGACAACAGCTCTGACTTTATATCTTTAAGTTATCTTTATTTTCTACAAAGCTGAAGAAACATTTAAAAGGAACTTAAAATCTGTCTTTAGGCCATTTTTTTTTTTGTTGATTTTCTAAATGACGTTTTTTGATAAAGATGTCACACCTGATGCTAATCCTAGCGCTAATAGGATAACCTAATAGGATGCCTGAGTTACTGGCCTCTTTAACTGATGTGTACAGAAGGTTGACGTAATATCTCCAAAAAAAAAAAAACCAACCCACCGATGTGAATGTTTACCTACCAGTTTAAAAGATTATTGACAACCCTACAATGACGTTACACCAGGGTTAATAAGAGCTGGGGATTTATTTAGTGTAGAAGGTTCCACTGGTTTGTACAGTTAAATGAACATAGATAAACAAATGTACTGGTCCGATACTGGTGTGCGTTATAACCGCCCCCCAACCCAAGAATATTGGGAATTTCCGACTGTAACACTTCTGATCGAAAAAATCTGAAAATGAATTTTTCAAATGGCTGAGCTCAAATTATGTTAATGCCACAGTTCTCTGACCCACAATCCATCAGTTTCTCCCGCTTTTAATGAAAAAAACCTACAACGTCTAATTATAACTAAAAAGTAATTTAAAAATAATGTGTTTTTTAAGCTTTTTCCATTACAAACCTAATTATACAGTGATGCCATTAATAAATTTAAAAAAAAAAACCGCTACTTTCATTAATTTTGTCATGCGAGAAATTAGGTTATTGATTGACATCAGTAAAACAACTTTTCTCGGAGGAATATTGTGACAGCGTTGTGCTTGTTTGCCATCCCACCAGGAGTCAGAGCAGAGGATCAATATCAATTTCATCTGTGTGCATTCAGTCCAGTAATAGATCTCAGGCACGTGTAGCCTAGCTTAGCCATAAGAGTGGACGCAGTCAAGAGTGACTTGTACCGAAGCTTAAAAGTCCCTTTTTTATCTTTGGGATTTTCTAATCCCTTGGTGGATTAATCACCTTTTTTTTTTTTTTTTTTGTTCTTTTTTTTTTTTCGTTAACACTTTTCAAAACAAAGTCATAAGAGAAAAAGCCGCTTTTCAAAACAAAGTCATAAGAGAAAAATATCTATGGAGAAAGACAACCAGCCCCCTTTCCTCCCCTCCCGTCCCTCCCCTCCTCCCTGGCTCGAACAGGTTACCGACTAGCTGTAAGGCAACAGCTCTAACCGACATTTCACGTGGCCCCAGTTTATAAATTAATACTTAAATCTAGCAGCAGAACATCCTTCAGAAACTTCACCAAAGAAGTCACAGCACAGATGTAGGAGAGTTCAAATGAAGGAGCAGGAGATTCAAAGACATGAAGCTCTGGTACAAAATGACACGAGTTTTGGGGGAAAAATATCTGTTCCATCAGATGATAACGCAGCTTTATATCTGCCACCGTGTCTCCATCTACAGTCTGAGCCGTATCTCGTATTCAGCACAAACAAATCTCACCGTCTCAGGACTTTTTCTGTTATCGCTCTTTAACAAACAGTCTTTTCCTGATGATGATTTTGTTCTTGTTATCTCCGTGTTTTCTCCATGACTCTCTCCCCATTAGCCTCACTGTGTTTGTTTGGAGTGCAACATGGAAGTACGTCAGCGGTGCTGGCTTTTACCTAGAAAAGGGCAACAGGAAGAGACCACTCAGAAAGAGAGGAGACAGGAGGGGAGGGGAGGTGAAGGCGATGGGGATGACGGGGGATTGAAAATGGAGGGATTTAAAAAGAAGGAGGAGCGGTTTAAAGGTGGTCATTAAAATGATGTTATCAATTACTGGTTTTCATGAATTACTCCAGAGTGATCAAATGTTGGAGCATGTTTTCAGGCAGATTGGGATGAATGTATAAAATAAGACGGAGAGAAGAAACTGCTCTTTTGAATAGCTCATACTTTTCATTTCTAACTGTAGACCTAACACCTTTTAATAATCTGCTGATAGGATTCAATTTTTTATCTACGATGACAACTATTTAATGATGTCACCGCAGGAGCATCACAGCAGGTGATTAAATTACAGAATTGCCCTTTTTAGTGCCGAATCGCTCCTAAGAAGTGTTCTTTATAAAGATTACAGGAAGTGGAGAACAGGAAATAAATGTCTTGGATAATTAACCCAAATTGAAGAAACGCCACATTAACATGAATTAGATCAGGTTTTGTGTTTATAAACAAGTTGTTACTTTTTAACAAAAAAGGAAATTACGGTACTGAAGGAATGGAACCTTCTACGACAGTGTTGTTAGTAGACAAATATTACGATTATTATTTTAAGGGTTTGAGTTTATTTATGTACGATTAAAGACAAAAGGTCTTCGCTCTACATCCCCATCTACCATAAATTTATTAAGAAAGTTCCATTGTTCCGACATATTGTGATAAAACTGTAATCGAAACTTGTTGGCGTGAGGAGAGGACAAATACATCGTCACGCTTTATTTACGTTCGCTGTTGGTACACCTTACATTGGATCGCACTACATTCACTTTCTGTTGTGTTTTTTTGGGGAACTTTTTGCCCTTTGTCTAGGCTCCCAGGCATAAGTCAGACTCTCGTGATGTTTCCATGTCCTGGTGTACAGTAGGTGAGTTCCAGCTTATGATGAAAACTGATCTGAATCTTTGAACTTTTACAAACTCCTCAACCAAGAAACGTGTTCTTTCTCCACTCTGTCGTTCTGTTTATATGTCAAAAGTGAGTTTAACTTTCATGGTTGGCTGGTTAACCTCCACGTGATCAGAGTTTGAAGAATTCTGACACCAGGTCAGAAGGTCAATCGTGTGTGAACTGTGATCTGAAGAAAAAGAACAAGTACATTTGCGATTACTGCGACAAAGATCGGAGAATGCGTGAAACTGTAACCTCTGCAGTCACGGGGATAGAGAACTCACAAAGAAGGTTTGTCCAAAAAAAGATTTGCAAATTTGTTGCGTTTTCTAGTATTTACACAGTATATTTATATACGTAGATGAGGCTTGAGATGGACGACTACTGACAGATATGATGCGTGGTCACTGCATCCACTCTAGAATGTTCATCCTCACTCACTCTTCGTTGCTCCTTCATCTCCTCTCTCTTGCCTGCATCAGCACTATTCCTTTGATCTAGCTCTTCATAAAACAAGGCCCAAGGGTCCGACGGTACATGAGGAGTCCAAACTGCAGCGTGCATGTTGTCTTTTTCATCTCGAAAACAGCATTTTTCCCCTGAGGGATTCATTTTCCATAGAGGTGAAAATACACTTTTTAAAGTCGGTATCTCATTTTGGACGTGACGCTGTGGGACTAAAATCCAACATCAGCTTCAAATACTGCTCCACTGGCAAAATGTTGGATGAAATAAATCATTTTCATGGCTACAGAATGGTACATTTTGGAGCTTATATAATATTTTGATAGACTGTGACTTTGGGTTTTTGTTTTTCTGCCAACATAACCCTTTTCATCTCGAAAACATCTCCCTCCCTCTCTCTCTCTCTCCCTCTCTCTCTCTCTCTCTCCCCCCTCCCTCTCTCTCCCCCTCCCTCCCCCTCAGCCAGACAGGATGTTTTGGAAGGAAGACTGCAGGGTCACAGTCTGAGCCACAGACAATGATAAAGATCAACTGAATGCTTTACATCAGATGTGTGTGTGTGTGTGTGTGTGCTCCTGTGTGGCCCAGTGTGTGTGTGTGTGTCTTCATACCTTCTTTTTAACATGCGTGTACCTGCCACATTTGCCAGGAAAGAATGTGACATCTAACAACCAATTAACTTGGAACTTGATGCAATAGTAGACGTACATTTGTGTTTAATTGTGGCTTTTTTTTTTCTCTATTATTGCTGACATTTTCATTTAAGTATGACAAATTACAGTATAATATACTGTATATATGAAAATTAAATTACAATTCTGCTTTGTCAGAACTTGGTCGTACATTGTTAATGAGGAACCACATTATAGACTCCCATTTAATCCCATTGCATGTTGGATATTTATATCAATATCAATTATTCTTTTAATTATTTTTCTGGGTTAATCAATTTTTCTCTTGTAAAAAAAAAAAAGAAAAAGAATAGGAAATAGGGCATACTATCGCAATTTCCCGAGGCTAAACACGACTTTCAATTTTACAGTGTTTATGGTCTTCATTAAACCAACAACACAAAATCCATAATAAGATTCAGTTTGATTTAATATGACTATTATTATTAATATGAACATGTAGTGTTTTACATAAAGAGCTTTATTTTAAATGTATTAAAAGATCGGTTGTTTTTTAACCGGCTGGTGAACATCAACAGACTCAGATCACGTTCACATTCACATGATGGGCTGGGAATTTTTACCAACTCCAGTCGGACTCCAGGAGCTCAAACTCAAACACAGCCCATGTTCTGTTTGCCATTCAGGGAATGTAAGTGATTTTATTTCTGTCAGTTACATGAAATAAAATAGAATACTTGAACTAAAAGGCAGTCATGTTACCCTTAAAGGTTAGCTTAACAAAGTTTAAAAAAAATAGCCTTAACTTTAGCAGATTCAATAGCAAAGAGCTAACCAACAAAATAGCAAAAAAATATTTAAATGTTATTTAAAAAGAACCTTGGTACTAAAGGCAAACAACAAAACCAGCTTAGATGCATTTTGAAGCTAGTTCATAATACCACAAAATAATTCACTAAATTCTTGTCTAAAAGCTACTTAAAGGCTAGCTCAGGTGTAGCTTAAAGATCATTTAAATACAGTACACCACAGCTCACAATAAAACACACCAAAAAGACAGATCAAGGTAAACATGTGGAGCTCATACCTGGCCAAAATAATAACTAAAATTAATAAATATATAGCCGAAAGATACTGGAAATGTAACTAAGCTAACCCACGTTAGCTTAGGAAAGTACGCTACCATATAAGCCAATGAAAATCCCAAACTGAGCAACAAAAGAATAATAACATTGGCTAGAAGCCGACCAAAACAATAGATTGATAGGAAGTAGACTTTATCTCAGTAAACGATCTAAAATACGGATGGTAAAAAGTTGATATCACAGCCAGGAACACACATCACGTAAGAACACGCACATTAAGATAAGATAAGAGCTGTGAAGGTGGGAGGCTGCTCATTAGGGTGTGGGTCTGTGTTAAAGGGGAGGTGGAGTAATTTAGGTCCCAGCCAAAGTGTCTCCTGGAGGAGGTGGTTTGTCGGCACACAGGGTTTCCCACTCCTCTGAAGTCTAGCAGCCATATCTGGTTACTCCTGTCGTCTGCCATGATTGCCCTCCACTCACATTCCTCAGCCCTCATTTACTGCAATCCACATAGGAATCTTACAAAGTCAGCATTACTGCCTGAACAAATACACACACACAGACCCACACACACACACATGACCACAGGCACCAAACAAAACCAAGCGCTCCGAAGCCAAATGTAAAAACAACTCTTAACCTTTAGCATTAGCATATTTGTTCTTTCTTTCTCTACGCCTGGTACTAAAATCGTTGTTAGTCAAAAAAAAAAAAGAAACACAACCTAAGACAACTTTGAGTCTAGCTGCGGTTTGTGTTGCCACTGTAGTGTTAACCTGGTTGTAAAAATGACTGAAATGTTGTAATCCACATGGAGGCGATTGTCATCTTACACCAAACTGTGAGGGGCAGCACTGGCAACGTGGTGCTTCAGGCCCTGGGCCTGTGTTAGCCTGCTGCTGGATGAAATGTCATCACAGACGGCTGACTAGACGCCCAGCTGCCACATGTTGTGCACGTCCGCTGCCACACTGCACCGAGACGTGACGTACTTTAATGATTATCTGCCGCGGTTTTATCCACGCGTATCTGTCCGCTCACGGCGCCGGAAGGCGGGTGTGAACTTGTCCGACGCCTCCAGCTTTAGACTGGCACGCTGCTTCCTCCACTGTCCGTGTATTTCCAATTGCTTTATTAAAGCCCCTCCGTCAGTGAGTGTGACATCGACGCGGCTCTTCCGTGGGGGTGTACGGCCTCTGGGAGGACAGAGGACGTTTACGGAGGAAATGTCTCTCCTCATGTAACATAATTGAAAAAGAAGAAGGAAGAGGATATTGTAGTCATCTCCAGATCCTCTTGTGCTGATATTGCACCTATCAATCAATTTTCACG